CGGGTGAGAAAGTCCCCAGCGTGGAAACAGTGACAGATCAAAGCAGAAACCCTGACTTTCCCTGATTATGTAACCGATCTCCCCTTCATTGCCTTGGCAATCTCTACAGTGCTTTTGACCTCAGCTAAAACACTTCCTCCTCCAGAAGGCCCTCCTTGATTCATCCTCCCAGACTAAACTAAGTGCTCCTCCACGGTGCCTCTTCACTGTCAGAATTGTACAGGATCTCTCTATCATGGCCTCTTTGACCCAGATCAGTCCTCTCAGTGCTAACCACATGAACTTTGGAACCAGAGAAACGGACAGGTCTGTCTAAGCTCTGCCCCGCCCTCCCCCCTGCCCCCCGCAGCCCTTGGGAGGCTCAGAGCAGCCTTTCCACGAATGCAAACACCTTTCACACTCATCTCAGAGGAGGACATCATGCTGCGACCGAGAACCCTCGCTATGCAGTCAGCTGCAATGCTCAGTGTGTGTTCTTATGGGAGGGCCTCCACCCACTTTCAGTCTCTGTGCTTTTGACCAAATTCCAACAGTGGGCAGAGGTCTGAGACAGGTCAGCGTACATCAGCATTCATAGGCCCCAGGGATTGTTGTGCTGCGAACGGGAAATATCTCACCCGCTTCAGACTTGGTCCTCAGGTGGCGCTGGCATTTTGGGAGTTTGGAGGAAACTGAAGTAGGTGGGACCTGGCTAGAGGAAGGAGGCCCCAGGGGACCTGGCTTTGAAGGTTCTTCAGGCTTTTTACTTTGTTACCTGTCTGCTGTGAGGTAAAGAACCTCTTATGTCACACACTCCTGCCCATGAAGACAAACAACCCCGAACCTGAGCCACAATAAACCTTTCCCTCCTCAGGTTGTTCCTGTCAGGTGTTTTGTCACAGTGATGCAAAAGGAAAACAGCAACCCTGTGCGGTCAGCCTGGCTTAGGTGGAGATTCAGGACGCACCGGTCAGAAGGGGACCCACTGCAAACTCTGGCATCTTCTACACTTCTGTATTTGCCATAGCAACCACAGTAGAGCTCCCTCTCGGTCAGGAAACTGAATGAAGTTTGTACAGCGATATTGGTCTGTAAAATTCTGTATCTCCTTCCCCATCCTTTAAAACTTTTGACCCTAAGAGAAACTGCTGGAGAAGATTGTGCTCCAGATGTTCAGTTCCCAATTTGAGAACATCTAGTTTTGTGTATCCAGCACTCCTTCTTTTGGGGAACTTCCCTCCCCCACTCCATTTGATACCCACAAGACTGCCAAACACAGGATTTCATCTCTCTGGTCACAGGGATTTCTCAATCCCAGGTCAGCTAGAATTTCTGTCAACTTCAGAGCCATGAGTGGAGACACTTGCAGGTGGGAGGCATGAGGAACTTAGTCATTGATGGTTCTGCCCTAAGGCAGACCTTTCTGTAACAAAGATCTTGGACCAGAACACCACCATCTGGGAACTTGCTAGAAATATGCTACACTTGGTCCTATCCCTTTGTACTGACTCGGGAATTATGGGAGTGGGTTCCAGAAGTCTATTTTGACAACCCTTCTGTATGATTCTGTATTATACTAAAAACTGCCCCAGGGAACAAGAAGTTTCTGTGAGTGGAATTCTTATCTTGATACCACTCTTTTCTCTGTCTTGGCTGTTGAGATTCTTTGTAGCTTCTTTAATCCGTAACTCCAGTTCCAGGGGATCTGACTCCTCTCTGGTCTCCATGAGCGCAGCAGGCAGGTGGTACTCATATATCCATACAGGTAAGGACCTTCTATTTCAGGTCCCTGCCTCAAGAGATGTGCCAAGATCCTTCTAATTTCCTGTCATTCATTTCTCCAAATCTGTAGCATAGTTCTATCATGTCTTCTGCAGCACCTCAGTGTGTGTGTGTGTGTGTGTGTGTGTGTGTGTGTGTGTGTCCATCTGTCTGTCTGTGTGTGTGCTGTGCTGAAAACAGAAGACAGAGTGAGGGCTTGGTGAATAATCAGCAAGTGCTCTACAACCGAGCCACACCCTCAACCCTATGATTTTTTTAAAGATATTTATTTATTATGTATACAGTGTTCTGCCTGCATGTATGCCTGCAGGCCAGAAGAGGGCACCAGATCTCATTATAGATGGTTGTGAGCCATCATGTGGTTGCTGGGAATTGAACTCAGGATCTCTGAAAGAGCAGCCAGTGCTCTTAACCACTGAACCATCTCTCCAGTCTGAGGATTTTTGTTTGTTTGCTTGCTTGCTTTTCTGAAACAGGGCTTTGCTGTGTATGCCAACCTTGTCTTGAACTAATAGCAACTCTCCTGCTCAACCTCATGAGTGCTAGGACCCAGGTATGCATCTAGCCCTACAGTTGAGTGTGGATTCTTGGCAGCCTCATGGTTCCCTCTGACCTTTTCTGGGTCCTGTAATTTTCCTTAGAAGTCTCACTCATGAATCATTTTACTGTCACTTTTGGAGCTTTATTGAGTTTCCCTGAGGTAGCCCAGAACGGATGTGTTTTTCTAAATAGCGACTCTGGCTCATGACCAAACAGCATCTGAGATGGCCACTTTGGGTTGAGCTGAGTCCCTAGGGACAAGGCTTTCTACCTCTCGTCTTCCCATTTCCCACCCCCACCTACAGAGTGGCTGAAGTTCAGAGAAACGAAAGAGGGTGTGATTGTGGGAAAGTCAGGGAGCAACAGGAAACAGCGAGAGCCTCGCTGTTTCCTCCTCGGCTGGACCACTCTTTTGGGATGCTGTTGGGGGTTGAGACAATGGTGGGCGACTTGTGGGAAGGATACTGACATCATCTGTGTCTACTCTGTGCCAGGTCCTGAGTTTCCCGAGACTCTCATGGTCCTCATCACATTCCTGCGAGTTAAGAGGGAGACACTCCATTGCGTGGCTGAGGAAACTAAGGTCCAGAAGTGGAGAGTGCTGTGTCCATGCCTTGCTGCCCTTGAAGACTCAGTCAGACTCACACGTAAGGAGAGCCAGGGTCTAGCCCCTCCCTCTCCCTCCATCCTTTGTCCCAGTTCCAGGGGATCTGATACCCTCTTCTGGCCTCTGTGGGCACCAGGCATGCATATGACGTACAGACATACAAGCAGGCAAAACACTCATACAGATACACGGAGAAATCTGTCTGGAAAAAACCAAAACAACAACAAAACAAACAAAACAAAAACACTCACACATATACAATTAAAACTAAAAAATGTATTTTTTTTTTCTTGTTGGCAGGAAACTTCCAAGTGACCTCAGTTTGGGTGAGGCTAGTTCAGTTTAGTTGTGGGTAGTTTAGTCACCCCCATAGTAGGGGGCACCAAAGAGAAAGTAAGTAAGAGTAGTGACAGGTGACCAGATGGAGTCAGATTAGGATTTAACAGGGTTAAGACAGTGACAAAAGTCTGTGAGTCAGACTTTCAGTCAGAAAAGATAATTTGGCACCAGTATACCAAGGAACTGGTTTGTGGGTCTAACGTTGTTCATGAGGACAGTCCGTCCACAGTTATGTGGCATCCTACTGTGCCAAGACAGCTGTTACTGGACATCTGTGCAAGAAGACACTCTCTTAAGTGTGTTAATCAAAATAGAAAGGCATCCGAGCAGAAGAGGGTTGGGCATGGCAGGAGGACGAGAATGTGTGTGCATAAGACATCCAAAAACGGTCAAAGCGTGGGGAGATGCAGACAGTCCAAGGAGGGTTCACAATGACCTGGGGCAAAAGCTCACAAATGCCACACCTTGCCTGGCTCTCCTCCTCCTCATTCTTCTCCCTCCCCACCCTCTGACTTACTCCTTAATCCCCCAATGCCAAGTTAACAATGTAACATTGTTAACTAAGAAAAATGGATTGCCAGGAAGACAGTTCAATAGGTAAAGCCCATGTCAAGCAAATTTGAGGACCAAAGTTCAGATTCCCAGAATCCCTGTCAGAGCTGGGTGGGTGTGGTGGCCCTCCTGTGATACTAGTGACAGGGAGGCAGAGACAGGAGACCTTTTCAGAAAGATGGCTAGCCTGGCTCACTAAGAAGCTGGGCCCCAGGTTCAGTGAGATAGCCAGTCTCAACACATAAAGTGGAGAGTGATTGGGAAAGGCTCCCAACATCTGCCTCGGGTTCCACATGTACATGCATATGTGTGTGTGTGTGTGTGTGTGCATGCAATGGCACATACTTGCACCCACACAAATGAACATACATCTACACATGAACACACCACACCCATCTATGTATAAAACAAGAACAATAGAAAACACTGACAGATATAAACCTATGGTGATATTTTGTTTATGATCTAATAAATAAGGCTTGCCTGAAGTGCTGGAGAGATGGCTCAGAGATTGAGCACACTGGCTGCTCTTCCAGGGGACCCTGGAAGCACCCACACAGCAGCTCACAACTGTCTGTAACTCAAGATCTGACACCCTCACACAGAAATACACCAGGCAAAACACCAATACACATAAAATAAATGATTAAAAACAGGAGGGGCTGGAGAGATGGTTCAGAGGTTAAGAGCAGTGGCTGCTCTTCCAGAGGTTCTGAGTTCAATTCCCAGCAACCACATGGTGGCTCACAGCCATCTATAACAAGATCTGGTGCCCTCTTCTGGCCTGCAGGCATACATGCAGGCAGAACACTGTATACATAATAAATAAATAAGTCTTAAAAAAAAGAAACTTGCCTGAAGATCAGAGTGCAAAGCTAGTCACACTAGTTAGCCAGTGTATGCCTGGAATCCCCATACCAGGAAGCAAAGGTGGAAGAAGTTCTAGAACAGAGAGAGATATAGCAAATCCTGTCTCAAAAAACCAGAGAGACAGAGAAAGAGAGAAGGGAAGAAAGAGGAAGGAGAGAAGGAGAGGGAAGAGGAAGAGGAGACAGGCTTGACATCACTGAAAAACTTGTAAGTAAATACAAACCTCCTTCATCCTTGGCTACCTGTTGCTCTTCCTGAGGTGGGAGAGCAGCGTGACCCAGGAGTTAAGATCCTGGACTCTGAAGTCATCCTGACCTAGTCTAAGTCCTTGTTTGATGTTTTGTTATTTTATTATTACTATTAAGATCAAGAATAACATTGTAGGGCTTAAGAGAAAAACAACAGGGAGGCAAGCTGTAAGGCTTGGCAGCTGCCTGGAGTAGAGAGAGAGAACGATGCCTTCTTAGGTGCAGCAATGGTAGAAGTTGGACCCAAAAGGGTGGTTCGGAGGAAAAGTGAGAAAGCCCAGAACACCGGGGAGAACAGGCCCAGGCTTTGGCAAGTATCTGAAAGAGAGAAAAAGAAGGAAAAGGGACAGTTACACTTTGAGCAGGCTGAGTGTCTGAGGTTCCACAGGTGACTGCTGTTCTTTGGTTTTCTGAACTAGGGCCTGGCTATGTAGCCCAGGTTGTCTTTGAACTCACCATCCTTCTGTCCCAGCCTCCTGAGTGCTGGGATTACAGGTATGAATCACTGTGACCAGCTTTGTCTGTTTTTTGCTAATCATGTGACCTCACGCGAGTCAATTAACTTTTCTCTGATACAATGATCTCATCTATAGAGTGAATTCGACTGTGATTTCTGTGTGCACTTGTAAGATTCGGTCAAGGCCTATAGTTTTGTTTTGTTCTGTTTTCTTTGTTGTTTGTTTGTTTTTGTTTTTAAGACAAGGTCTCAGTATTGAGACTGGGCTGGCCTCCAACTTGGAACAGTCCTCCTGTCTCTGTCTCCTCCCCAGTACTCGAATTACAAGCTTGTGCCACTATAACCTCAAAATGAACAAGCAAATACGAAGGACTATTCTGGCTAGAGGTCAGTACATGAGTGGATGCTAGGCATGTAGTCTGAGAGCGGGGAAGGGCTGGGTAACCAGGACCTTGTAGATTACGGTAAGAAGAATGGATTTTATTCTCAAAAGATGCCAAAAAACTGGGTGAGGTGGCAGAATGTCTTTAATTCTAGTATTACAGAGGCAAAATCAGACAGATTTCTGTGAGTTTGAGGCCAGCCTAGTCTACATAGAGTTCTAGGACAGCCGGGGCTACATAGTGAAACTCTGTGTGTGTGTGTGTGTGTGTGTGTGTGTGTGTGTGTGTGTGTGTCTGTGTGTGTTTGTAAATGTATGTATACTGCAGTGTAAAGGGCAGCTTTTCCTTTGCTAGCTGCTTTGGTTTATCACCCGCCAGTCACCTGGGCTCTGCCGCATTGTAGTCCCCAAATAACACACAAGATGCTGTATTAATCATGAAGCTGTTGGCCTTGCTTATTTCTTACTGGCTAGCTCTGCCTTAAGTATTTAACCCATAATTGTTAATCTAAGTATGTCTCTTACCGGAGAATAGTTCTGAGCTTCCTACCCCATGGCGGTTACAAGTCGACTCTCTTGTGTTTCTCCTTCCCACAATCCTCCTGGACTCCTAGTCCCACCTATCTAGATTCCTATCGGCTCAACAGTGCTTTATTAACAAATGTACAGGACTTCCCCCATCACTGCAGGGACACTGGCATGTTTGCTTTAATTTTTGTTTTGTTTTTCGAGGCAGGCTTTCTCTGTAGCTTTGGAGCCTGACATGGAAGTTGCTCTGTAGACCAGGCTGACCTCGAATTCACAGAGATTTGCCTTCCTCTGCCTCCCAAGTGCTGGGATTAAAGGCATGATCCACCACCAACTGAATTTTTTTTTTTACATTTATCTCTTTATCTGTGTATATGTGTATGGGTGTCACAGCTTGTATATGGAGATCAGAGAACAACTTACAGAAATTGGTTCTTCCACCATGTGGGTCTTGGGATTGAACTCAGGCTATCAATCTTTGAGGCAAGTATCTTTACCAGCAGAGCCATCTTATCAGCCTTAGAGCATTGTTTTTAATTGCTAATAAGGCACAGGACTGATGTGCATGTACATCATAAGCTTTGGGAATAATGTCTGAGTACATCTTGTTTGTGGGCTCCCTCTGGTGGAACTGGTGGTTCAACTTGCGTGGTTTCATGTTCATAAAAGCAAAACACAATGAGTAAACATTTCATTCAACATACATTTTTTTCTTTCTTTCTTTCTTTTTGGTTTTTCGAGACAGGGTTTCTCTGTGGCTTTGGGGGCTATCCTGGAATTAGCTCTTGTAGACCAGGCTGGTCTCAAACTCACAGAGATCTGCCTGCCTCTACCTCCAAAGTGCTGGATTAAAGGCGTGTGCCGCCGCTGCCACCACCACCTGGCTTCAACATACATTTATTAAGTGTTTACTATGTGGCATACTTTGCTCTAGTGCTGAAATAAACCCACAAAAAATAACCATCCAAGTTGGATATGGTGGTGCACACCTATGATTCTAGAGAGGCAGAAGAATCACAAGTTTAGGTTCATTCTCAACCACAAATCTAGTTGGAGGTTAGCCTGGGCCACAAATAAACCCCATTCCAAACCAAAATCCAAGCCCTCATGGAGCTTATATTCTGGTGGGGAGGGAGACAAGCAACATGTTGGACAAATGTCATGAAACAAAATTGGGGGGTAAGAAAGTACAAGAAAGATAATAGTGTTCCCATTTGTCTTAGTGCTGCTATTGCTGTGAAGCGACACCACGACAATGGCAACTCTTTTTTTTTTAAGATTTATTTATTTATTATGCATACAGTACTCTGTATGTATGTCTGCAGGCCAGAAGAGGGCACCAGATCTCCTTACAGATGGTTGTGAGCCACCATATTGTTGCTGGGAATTGAACTCAAGACGTCTGGAAAAGCAGCCTGTGTTCTTAACCTCTGAGCTATCTCTCCAGTCCAGACCATGGCAACTCATAAAAGAAAACACTTAATTGGGGCTGGTTTACAGTTTCAGAGGTTTAATTGGTTATCATAATGGCAAGAAGCATGGCAGCATGCAGGTAGACATGGTGCTGGAGATGCTGAGAGTTCCACATCTGGATCCGAAGGGAACAGAAGGAGACCATGTGCCATACTGGGCATGGCTTGAACATATAAAAGATCTTAAAGCCTGCCTCCACAATGGCACGTTTCCATTAACAAGGTCACGCCTCCTAATATTGTCATTCCCTATGGGCCAAGCATTCAAACACAGGAGTCTGTGGCTCTGTACCTATAGAAACCACCACACCATTTAAAGTACAGTGTCAGAGAAGGTCTCATTGAGAAGGTTCATTTGAATGAAGATGTAAAGGAGACAACAAAGTGAATGACGCCAGTCAGTGAGGGAAAAGCATTCCAAGCAGAGGGAGTAGAAAGCAGATAGTGTCTCACCCTACCCACAGGCTTGAAGAACAGCAGAGCCGGCCAGGGTGTCTTTTTTAAAGATGGTTTCACCATGTCGTCCTGGCTGCCATGGAATTCATTCTGTAGACCAGGCTGGCTTCAAACTTGGAGATCCAAAAAAAAAAAAAAAAAAAAAAGCCGGGCGTTGTTGGCGCACGCCTTTAATCCCAGCACTCGGGAGGCAGAGGCAGGCGGATCTCTGTGAGTTCCAGGCCAGCCTGGTCTACAGAGAGAGTTCCAGGACAGCCTCCAAAGCCACAGAGAAACCCTGTCTCGAAAAACCAAAAAAAAAAAAACAAAAACAAAAACAAAATACTTGGAGACCCACCTGCCTCTGCCTCCTGAAGCTGGGATTAAAGTATATGCCACCACCACTTAAGGCCAGGGCATCTTAAGTGGAGGGATGACAAGAGGAAGCCCAAGAAGAGGTTAGAGTTCTACTTGACAGACTTAAGTCTTATGGATCCTGTAGGCAATGTAAAGATTATGGTTTTCACTCTGAGATAGAAAGTCATTGGAAGAAGCACATGATCTGATTAAGACATTAACAGAGTCCTACTTCTGGGTTAAGAGTGCAGGATAGTAGGCCTATAAATAGGACACTCTAAACCACAGATTGACCATGACTTATACCAACACATGTGGTAAATATCCAGGTTCTGCAAAGACTTTGAAGACAGCGTCTACTGACTGAGCTAATTAGACATGGTGTATGAGAAAAAAGGGTAAAGAATCTTACCAAGGTAATTGCTTAGAAAATTGTTGACATAGAAGCAGTTAATTAAAAGTCTTTTCTTTTTATTTGTATTTAAAAGATGTGGTGATATATATGATTTAGTAAAGATGTCTTGAAGTCCCCGAATGCAATGCCAGCCATACTAACTAGCTAGCTATAGAAGCTGGGTGGTGGTAGTACACACCTTTAGTCCCAGGACTCAGGATTAAGAGGTAGATTTATCTCTGCCCATTCAAGGCTTCACTGAGCTGTAGGAAATTGATCCAGTCTAAAAGAGAAACCACTCACACAAAGGTGATCTCAGCACTTGGGACCCCGTGCCTTTAATGCCAGGATTTGAGAGGTATAAAAGAAAGAAGCAAAGGGTCTCATGTGAGAACTAGTTTCCAGCCACGTTGAGTAGAGCATAGCAGTCTAGGATTGCAGTCTGAGCATTGGTGCAGAGCAGAGCAGTCTGGATTTCACTCTGAGGACTTGTGGAGACAGGATCTGAAGTAGAGGTAAGAGCTAGTGGCCTGGATGCTTTTCTTTTCTGATCTTTCAGCTTAAACCCCAATAAAAGTCTCTGGGTCATTTATTACTCAAGTTCAAAAAGATAGTTTTTTTTTTTTAAACTTTGTGATTAACATTGTATTTGTAATTTTGGGCCTTTTTCTTGAGAGTCTTAGACTGAATACACTGAAGACTCCACAAAACCTATTTTCAATCCATTCCTTGTCCACATTTGAATTGTACTTCAAAATTAATAAAGAATTAAAAAAATGTTTCTGAGCTGATGGTGATGGTACATGCCTTTAATCCCAGCAATCGGGAAGCAGATTTTTGAGTTCGAGGCCAGCCTGGTCTACAGAGTGAGTTCCAGGACAATCAGGAGTATGTAGAGAAACCCTGTCTCGGAAAACAAATAAAGAGGGAGAGAGACAGAGAGACAGAGAGAGAGAGAGGGAGGGAGGGAGGGAGAGAGAGTTCCTAAAAACAATGTGCAATGTGTAATATGCTACTATGCATAAAATAAAATTTCAGATAAAAACGTTCACTCTGAGTTAGCCATCCAAGTGTCTTCAAAACTTCCCATTCATCTTTCCTTTTCCAGCTTTTCTAAATCTACGAATTGCAGTCAGTGTTCTAACCTCGTCGTCCCTTTACCATAGGAATCACACGCATTTTGAAGAACTTACTTTTAATAATGAGAGCTGTGGTTGGGCATGGAGGCAGAAGCCTTGCATTACCAGTCCTTGGCTTAAGGAAGAGGATCATGAGTTCGAAGACAGCCTGAGCTACGTAATGAGACTTTGTTTTAGTGCGGGAAGGGTCAGGAAAGGCGGGCACGCGTACTTTTCACCAAGGATGCTGAGCAGCATCAGCGTCCAACGAGGCACTCAGAAACAGACCAGCGCGTAGGACCCAGGGAATCAATCACTGACCTCCGTCGCCCAAGTGGGCGAGGCCTGGGCCTTTCCCCGCCCCGAGAAGCCTGACGCGTACTCAGGGTTCGGGCGGAACGAGGTGTGGATTGTGAGGCGACCCCGTACGCCTACTTCCGGTTCCTAGGGATGCGCATCCGGGTCGCGCTAACGCCGCGGTTTCCGCCACTCTGTTGGTTCCAGAGTGGGTCCGTAGCGGTCCCATGTTGTTCTGTGGGGCGTCTGCAGCCTTCGGGTGAGTATCCGCCGCCGCCGGGGTGTGGGCGCGGCGGCTCGGGTGCAGCCTGCCGGGCGGCGGCTGAAGAGTTCTCCCTGGGTCCTCCAGGGTTGGGGGTCCCTTCGCCGGTCCCTCGCCCCTGCCGGTCCCCCCTCGAGCCTTTTCCGTCACGCTGGCCTCGCCCCTTCGCACCTCAGCGCCCCAGCCCTGCCCGCTCGTCTCTGAGCAGCGCTGTTCGCCCGCCCGGAGCGTTGGGGTTCGGCGCCGTCCCCTGGCTCTCCTCACCTGTGACCCTTACCCTCCGGGACGAGTAGCTGACAGGAGTGTTGCGCCTGCCTTTTCGGAGTCAGCGAGACCAGGGCTTCTCCGAAGCCGCGGTCCGGGCCGACTCCTCCAGCCTGGGGCAAGTTGTGTCCTGAGGCGCGAGGTTGGACTGAACCCTGATCGCTTCCCTAGTTTGAGAACAACAAAGGCGTTTCCAATTTTTTTTCCCTGCCTTAGTTGTCCGGGCTCTCAGAAGAGCAGCGAACAGGTGGCGGGCTCGCTGTCGGGCTTCTGTGATCTTGTTAATTGACAGGTCTTGAGTACGTCCTGTCCGTTTTGTGCCCTCTGTCCCACGAGAATGGATGTATGTGCACAGCTGAAGCAAAAATGCGGATGCTCTGCACTCTGCCTGGATTTTAAGTTAGAGGACAGTTGTTACGACACAGGACCAGTTTCTTGGGAGAGTACCAGCCCTGCGTTTATAAACTTACTTTTAAAACATTTTTAGTGTGGTGTTACTGTTTTCTGCTAGAATTCACTACTGTAAAGCAAAGTCATTTTCCTTATAAGCCGAACATTACTACTTAGACATTCTTTTAATTAGTTTTTCTTTAGTGTTGCCTCCATAGTTTAGAAACTGTCATTTTCTTATTTTGAGATTGAAGACACATTATCTTCTCTGGAAGTTTTTCATCATCTATAATGTGAAATGATTAGACTTAATAACGGTTAGTGTCCTGGTTTTCAAATTTTGTGGTCTAAGGTATATCTTGAAGTACAGGTTTGGATAATCTCCTCCCCCTTCAGGTTTTTGGTGTTTGTAGCATTTCATTGCAACCGTTATTTTCTTTTGTGTGTGATCAGTCTAAAATTCAGCATTAATAATTAAATATGAACAGAACAAATCCAACGTTTATTATTGGTTTCTCTTGACTGAGTGCTCCCTCATATACACATATGAGAGTGTAGCGTAGACTGGCTTAGTCCAAAATTGGGCTGCTCTCTTCACCTATTTTTAGCAAAGCCCTTTGGAGCTTGGCCATGTTAGTCCTAGGTGCCACAGAGGAAGACCCTTCTGGTTGGCTTTCAGGGTTTAACTAGTGAGGGAGGGCAGCCTCTGCTCAGCCTCTTTGTCCCTCTTTAAAAACAACCCCAATAGTCGGGTGGTGGTGGTGCACACCTTTGATCCCAGCACTAGGGAGGCAGAGGCAGGAGGATCTCTGTGAGTTCCAGGCCGGGGTGGACGGACAGCCTCCAAAACAATACAGAGAAACCCTGTCTTGTAAAACAAAAACAAACAAACAAAAAAACCAAAAACAAAAAACAACAACAACCCCAATAATCAGGGATGGCTCTAGTGACTTCTTTGCCTCTAGGTTTGAAGAGTGTTTCTTTTTTACATATATAGTTGGTACAGAACTTCAACTCTTTATTTCTGAACTTTATATTTCTTTCCTTCCCTTCTTTACCTTCCTTCCCTCCTTCCTCTCTGTTTTTGTGGTGTGTTTTGATCTCAGGTTGGCCTGGAACTTGCTGTGTAGCTCAGAATGGCCCTGAACTCCTGATCCTCCTGCCTCCACCTTCTAAACTCTGGGATTACAGGCCTGTGTTATCCTGCTTGACTGTATCTCAAGCATATTTTCGGTCTAAATTTAGTGACATTTTTTTTATAGTCTATAGCCAAAGGGAATTTAAAGTTCAGATGTACTCCTTCAAGAATTATTTTCCAAAGTCCTTTCTTCTTCTTCTTCTTCCCCTTCCCCTTCCCCTTCCTTCCTTCCTTCTTCTTCTTTCTTCTTGTGCCTGGTGCCAGGGCAGGCCAGAAGAGGGCATCAGAATCTCTGGAACTGGAGTTACAGATGGTTGTGAGCTCCCATGTGGGTGCTGGAACTCAGGCCTGGGTTGTCTCGAAAAGCAGCCAATGCCCTTAACCACTGAACCATCTCTCCAGCCCACCAAGATAATTTTTTAAAAAGAAACCCTGCACTTGCATTCAGAGTGATTGAGTGTTAGTTCTTTGAAAGCTTTAGACTAGAGGGTACAATTTAGTATTTGGTGGGCCATATTGATGGATTTAGGATATAGGAATGAAACCATTAGGATAAAAAATCTATGCCCTGAAAAAAAAAAACTATGCCATGGCCAGGCATGGTGGTACATGCTTTTTTAATCTCAGCACTTGGGAGGCAGAGTCAGGTAGAACCTTTGTGTTCCAGGCCAGATTGTGTCTCCAAAATAATAAACAAAATCTGTAATGTGGATTTGCTTTCAAAAAGCAACTAGAGAAACTGTTAATGCTGAAGTAGAAGGTAGTTTTTTAAAGTGATATTGTTGTGTTGTGATCTAAATTCTGTCTAAAAGCCCCCAAATAAAATGAAGATTCTATGCTGTTACTGGAACAGCCATGATCATGCCCCAGGACTTGGGACAGAACATTGACAGACTTTCTAGCTACTGAAGAACCTGCCTTTATTGCTTAGCTGCTGTCTTAGTTACTGTTCTATTTCTTTGAGGAGACATGATGACCAAGGCCACTCTTACAAAGGAAAGCATAAATGGGGGCTTGCTTACAGTTTTAGAGGATTAATCCATGGTCATCATGGCTGGAAGCATGCAGGAGAGAACGTGCAGGAACTTGAGACTGAGCCTGGTCCTTGCCTCTAGAAACCTCAAAGCCCACCTGCAGCCTCACACCTCCTCCAACAAGGCTACACCCACTCCAGCAAGACATCTCCCAATCCTTCCCAAACAAGGCCATTGAGAACTAAGCATTTAAAGTATGAGCCTGTGGGGACCATTTTCATTCCAACCATCACAGCTGCCAACTCCCTGGTCAGTAGAGACAATGTGGGTCCCATGTCGGAGTGTCGTCGTGTCCGTAGCCCCCCCTCCCCCCACTGTTTAGAACTGGTTGTCCTGGAACTTGCTTTTTTTTTTTAGATCAGACTGGCCTGGAACTCCTGAGTGCTGGGATTAAAGGTATGCGCCACCACTTACCTGACAGTGTGTTTTTAAAGCTCTGAAATCATTGTTGCTTTTCTTTTCCTTTTTCTGTTTTTTTTTTTTTTTTTGAGACAGTTTCTCTGTGTAGTCCTGGCTGACCTGGAACTCACTCTGTAGATCATGCTGGCTTCAAACTCCCAGAGATCCGCCTGCCTCTGCCTCTGCCTCCTGAGTGCTGGAACCAAAGGCATGCACCACCACCACCTGGCTTCACGTCGGTTTTCTTTCTTTTTTTGGTTTTTTGAGACAGGGTTTCTCTGTGGCTTTGGAGGCTGTCCTGGAATTCGCTCTGTAGACCAGCCTGGCCTCCACCTCACAGAGATCTGCCTGCCTCTGCCTCCCGAGTGCTGGGACTAAAGGTGCGTGCCACCAACTCCCGACTCACTGTCAGTTTTCTATAGCAATTTCTACCTTACATTTGTTTTTTTAAGTGTGAGAGCTCAATTTAGAAAGTATTTTTGCATGTTTTATACCTACCACACATGTTTTTGGCTTGATCATTTTTTGTTATTTGTTAGCTTGTTACTGTACTTTGTCACAAATGTATTAATTTTTTCCCTTTGTGTACTATGATATTTAAAGGATGATGCAATTATAAATATTTGAGAAGCAAAATGTACCTTCAACCTGTCCTTCCTATTGTCCTTGGATTTGTGATCTGCCTACGCTACTTCATGACTTCATTCTCTTTTACCACAAATAAAAGGCTCTCATGAAGCTTACTTTTTAGTAGTTATTTGTCTAAAAGATTTTTGTATATTGTAGGTGACTACATGTTAATGTAGTTTGTGTATCATTTAAATGGAGGGGCTTGAGAGATGGCTCAGCCTTTAAGAGCACTGACTGCTCTTCCAGAGGACCTGGGTTAATTCGCAGTGCCCATGTGGCAACTAACAACTGTCTGTAACTCCCAAGACTTGATGCCCTCACACAGACAAGTATATGGGCAAAACACCAATGCACATAAAAGTAAGAATAAATAGATTATTGTTTTAAAAAATGGAGAAAGACTAGTTTAAATAGAAATAGACAGTGTTAGAACTGGGTTATTGTTCCATAAATTCTCCTAAGTGGTTTATACCCAAAGGTTGAACTGTATTTACAGTAAAGTACTAGGAAAAAGAGCTGGGTTTTATATTCTGATTAATTTAAAAATGTAAGTGCCTGTTACTTTTCTGAATATGTGTGCTTAACATTAGAGAATATAACACATGATGGAAAACATACATGCCATCTTGAAGCCATCAACCTAGTTATAAGGTAGCTAGTTAGTAATGTAGAAGTATTTTATTTATTGTAAATTTAAAAATTAGATATTTAAGCCAGAGATGGATCTCTGTGAGTTCGAGACCAGCCTGGTCTACAAGAGCTAGTTCCAGGACAGCCTCCAAAGCCACAGAGAAACCTTGTCTCGAAAAAAAACAAAAAAACAAAAAAAGATATTTAAGCCAGGTAGTAAAGACACATACCTTTAATCCTAGCATTCAGGAGGCAGAGGTAGGCAGATCTCTGAGTTCTAGGCCAGCCTGGTATACAGAGCTAGTTTTAGGACAGCCATGGTTACACAGAGAAATCCTATCTTGAAAAACCAAATATTCCTCTCCCCCAGTAATAATAAAATAAAACCAGACATTTAAAGCATGGGCCTCATAAT